ATCCTGGTCCTCTACAAAAGCAACCGGTGCTCTTAATCACTAAGCCATCTCTGCAACTCAGTTCTGATACTCGATATCAAACCATTTGTGTTTTTCCTTACAATGCAGTGATGGTACTAGGTATTTTGTGTTCTCTCCCTGTCACAAATGACGAGTCTAAGGGTTAGATTTAATCCCAAGGAAAACTTACATATAAATTGGTCAAGAATCTGTGAATTAAAATAGCTGAGCTAAAAATTTTGAGATAAAAACTGACCTTCAGTTGAGATTTAAAATCTTGGGCTGGGTAGATGGCTCAGCGGTTAAGAACTCTGGTTGTTCTTACAGAAGGCGTAAGTTCAAATCCCAGCACGCACATGGCAGCTAACAACTGTCTTAACTCCAGTTCCAGGGGATCCAACAACCTCTTTTGTCCCCCACAGGCACTGCATAACACGGGTGCACTTACCTACAAGCAGACAATACATGCATACACATAAAATAATAATAATTTTTAAGTCATATTACAGAACCTGGAGAGATGGCTTGGGGTAAGGCGTTTGCTGCACAAGTGTAAGCTGGAGTTCAGATCCCCAGGACAGGACCCAAGTAAACGTCAAGCAGGCTTGGCATCCCACCTATAATCTCAGCATTCCAGAGAAGAAGACAGGGACCCTCTAGAGCAAGCTAGCTAGCTGACTAACGGAACCAGTGAGCTCCGGATCAAGTGAGAGACGCTGCCTCCATATATAAGGTGGAGAGCAATCAAGGAAGATACCCAATGTCAATCTCTACCTCCATACCCATGCTCACATGTCCATGAGAACATGCATACACACATGCACACCACACACAGGTACAGAAAATTAAAAAACAAAAATAAAAACCTTGTTACAAACTCTAACTAGGTTCCCGAGGAAGGGACAAGTCTGGTCACTTTCCTTTAGCTCTGTGCCAATCAAGATTCTGAGGGAACCCAAAGTTCGGTGTTTCTTGAAGACTGCTTCAACACATGAACAGAACAGAAAAAAAGTCAGGTTGGAATGTATCTTGAGATATACTTTTCATCTTTTTAAAGATTTATTTATGCATACACACACACGTGTGGGCCTTGGATCCCTGGAGCTGACGTTACATGCATTTGTGAGCCACCTGCTGTGGGTGCTGGGAACCAAATTTAGGTCCTCTGCAGGAGCAGCAAGTGTTTTTAGCTGGGAGCCATCTCTCCAGCCCAGAGATATTCTTTTTCAACTAGCACAGGGCTAAAGAAACACAGCCTGCCTTTGGAAATACACACTAATTTTACTGATGTTTACATGTCAGTGAATCCCTGTTCTCTCAATTATGTCTTTACTTTTTTAATCTTCTTTTAAATATGTACTGAGAATGGCAAAGCCTGGGGGAAGGACTAACAGAAGCTTCATTGACAAGGAAGAATTTCTTCAAACTTAATTGTATAAAACTGCTATGAGCCCACTAAAAGCCACCCTCGTGTACTGACATCTGTTTTCCAGTTTGGTGGAATTATACAACTGTGCCACTCACCTGTGATTTGCTTGTAAGATTCATCTCTGGGGAAGGTTCAGCCAGTCTTTTGTGCCCAAAGCTGCTCCTCGGATGAGTGACCTCCTCTCCTCCTCTCCCTATGTAGTTCTGCCCTGAGACGTCCCTACTCTTTAAGGCAGTGCTGGGAGACCATACTGCTTTCACATTAACAAAATGTGCTGCAACCCAGGGCAGTAGTTGAGGCCTAACTCCAGATCTCAGTAGGGTGAGGCAGGAAGCAGGAGGATGACTGTGACTATGAGGCTAGCCTGAGCTATATAGGGAGTTACAAGCTAGCCCCACAAAAACATGTTGGGCCAGCCAGCTTAGATTTAGATATCTTAAAAAGAAAACCAGCCCAAGGATTATTGAATGATAATAACTTTCAATGTAAATCTTCCACATAACAAATGGGCTTGACATGGCTTTCCCTCCAGAAGCCTGAGTAGCTGTGGCAGTTATGTGATACCACGTTAAGGTGACTGACTCAGCGTCCACTTGAGCTAAGAGGGGAACTGAGCTACTCTGAGAACCTGTTTTGATTACTCTCAGAATCACGTTCTTGAACAAAGGCCTTTTTCTTTACACGTTGTTAGGGCAGGACATTTAGTAACACTATTAAACACTTTCGTAATACCATTAGGCTTGTAAGGATTTTCCTGAGGGGTTTAGATGTTGTAGCCATACCAAAATGGAAAGGATTTCAAGGATTTTTCCTAAGCGTTTTCGAGAAACAGGTGCTGTGGATAGACTACAATCCTCAGGGCAAAGCGGCCTCCGTCTTTGTCAGATCAGCTTGCGTGCTTGCAAGAGGCCACCACAAGGCACCTATGGTCTCTGGACATTCCCTCAGAGGAGGGGGGACGTCAATGGGCCTCACCTCAGTGTCCAGCTGCTCCTCCCAGGCATATGTGCGTAATTCTGCCCTAATTGCATGTGGCTTCTGGGTCTCGGGAACGTACAGGTGGGGGAGGTTGAGAAGGACTCCTATGCAGCTATGGGGAAGCTGTCATCCATGTGACATACAGGCCTTCCAACACAACTCCTCTAGTGACACCCACGCTCCTGCCAGGAACCCCTCACCCATGCTCTGTAAGTAAGCCCAGTAGGCTCACTGGTTTCCCAGGGTGAACATCCATGGAATCAAGCTATAGTTTGTGGTTGGGACCTTATGAGGAGGGAGCAGATGTTGACGTTTTCCTGGGAAGGACTTCTCACGGCCAGAGACAGAAGCATCTTCAGCCACACCTGTGTGAGGCAGCACAGCAAGACTGTGGATGCAGCTTTGGATCCAACTACTGCTACCCGCTAGGTTCATAGCCTCATGCAAGTGGCTTAATCTGTCTAAACCTCAGTTTCCTCAACCACAAACCAGTAAAGAGTGAGAACCAGGGGCTGGGGAGATGGCTTAGTGGTTAAAAGCACTGGCTGCTCTTGCAGAGGACCTGTGTTCAATTCCCAGAACCCACATGATGGCTAACAACCATCCATAACTCTAGTTCCTGGGGATCTAATTCCTTCTTCTGACTTTGGCAGGCATTGCACAGTATGGGTGCACTTACATACATGCAGGCAGGTAATATAGTCAATACGCAATAAGGCAAGTAGCTAAGAACTCAGTGTCCCCTCACATTGCTCCCGGGATTCAGTGTGACAGCTAGCATTATCCATCTGCAGGTTGTCGTGAGGAAGTTTGTGATGCTGCATCAGGAATGACTACAAGCTGACTGACGAAATAACACAGCAACCCTTTAAGAATATTTATTACTTTTATTTTATGTGTATGCATGTATTGCCGACATGTGTGTAAGTGCACCATTGTATGCATCATTGTGTGTGTACAATGCCCTGCAGAGACCAGAAGAGGGTGTCAGATTCCCTGGAACTGGAGTTACAGTCAGTTGTTAGCTGCCATGTGGGTGCTGGGAATTGAATCTAGATCCTCTGGAAGAACAGCAAGTGTTCTTAAGCACTGAGCTGTCTCTCCAGCCCCACAATACCCTTTTTGACTACTTACTACATTCTGGCTAATATTTAACAAGGTACAAATTCTCCAAAATCACAGTTTGGAAAATCCTAGTGAATTTATTGGGCTTACTAACAGAGCAGTGGGGGAGAGGGTTACTTACAGAAGACTGGGCAGCCCCCCATTTAAGGCAGCACTGGAAAGTCCACACCCAACATAGATTCTGTGACCTTCCAGCAGCTGCACAAAATGGTGAGAGGACTCAATGCATGGTGGTTTTTTGTGTATATAGGCTTAGTCCCTCCCCCTCATGCAACTAAGGCTGACTGATTGGGTAGGAGGGGTGACTCCCTCCCCTGCCCCTCCTTTTCTTGTGGAAGGTCGACAGTCAAGTTTGTAACCTTAGGCAGGCAGGTGCAAGCAAGCTGGGGAAGGAGGCGGGACTATAGCTTGCCAGTCTAGTTTGCCAGTTGGAGGACAATTCTATGTAACACCTGTGGAAACCAGAAGAGGACATCGGATTCTCTGGAAGTGGAGTTACGGACAGTTGTTAGTAAGCATGTAAGTGCTGGGAATGGAACCTGGGCCCTCTGCAAGAGCAGCCAGTGCTCTTGACTGCTGAACCATCTCTCCAGCCCCCTCAAAGCATATTTTAATAAACACAAAGTTATAACTTTCTGTTGCTGAAGAAATAGCCATGTGATTTAAAGAAAAATATGCAAAAAGAAAATAGACCATTTAAGTATGTGTCGGTATTTAAGGTGTTAAACATGCATCCACGAGGTCACTACATTTAGGACTGATCACTGTGATGGGCATAGGAAGGCAGCTGAAAGACAAACTACTAAGTCATGATAACAAATTAATATATTACTGGGCAAGGATTCCTCACCGAGACTGAAGTATGTTTAATATCCAACTTATGCATATCCTGCCTGGTTTGTAGAGGACAAATCTCCACAAAATTTAAAATTCTAAAACCAAGTTTCTGAATTTTGTTCAATATGGTGTCATATTTGGGGATGATGTGGTGCCTACTGGCAAGTTAGTCAGTCTATCTCATCATTCTCCTCAGCTATAAAATAGAGGGAAAGAGCCCCCGGGGACTGAGAGTGAGCAGTCTTCACGCAGAGCATGAGTCATAGCTGACTAGGCTCCTATTACCAACTACTATCTAGTCTAAGTGTGCAATGTGCTTTTTGTACTTGAGACATGCAGAGTAGCTTGAGCTGAGTTCTTAGAAAGTTAGAAACCTTTCATCTTAGCTCTCCTGCACACCACTGCCGTCCTCTAAGTCTCTCTCAAATTTCACCAGTCACAGAGACGACCTCACTTTTCTGACCTATGATGATGACTGCACGTATTGTGATGTCACCCAACACCATCTTTACTCTGACTAGTCTGAAGGGCCCTTTCTGTGTGTGGAGTACAGCCTACCACATTAGCAAAATATGTAACTGAAAGAGCACAATATGACTGCCTGTGATTTCAATTCTATCCTTAAGAAGCAATGAATAACTCTTCCAAATTATGCTGTAAGACTTTTCCAGTCTCATTGACAAGATTGTTAAGAGAGCCTCCTTGCAGGTTTTAGGTCAGTGGGGGTATCACTGTCAGGAGCCCAGGATTTACAGAACACTAGCAACAATTCTGAGGTATGTCGACGTGGACGGGTCCGACATACCCCTCACAGAGTATGTTGCATTTGTGGGAAAATCAGGACACCGCTTTGAACTCAGTTTTAATCTTGAGTTTACTGAAATAATGTGTGAATACAATTCTGTACTGGGTTTTTGCCAGAAAAGGTAATCCTGACTTTGTGGAATTGCTTCTCAAGAAGACCAAAGACTATGTTCAAGACAGAAGCTGCAACCTGGCCCTTATATGGAGGTAACCATCTAGTGCTTTTTCCTTAGAAAGTGGTACTTGGCTGTGGGGAGCTTTAGCACCTTTTCCTAGGACTAGTGTGTGTGGTAGGTGTGTGGGGAAGGAGTCCTGACAGCTGCTCACTTGTTTCTCAGCCCTTCTTTCTGAATTCAATGAACTTCTACTTCTATTAAGTTCCAATGTTTTCAGTTCTCTTGTTCTACACACCGCACATGCCAATGTTCACGGTGATGAAATCTTAGAAAACGCTTTCAGACTTTTTAAAAGACAGACATTACTTTATGGAATACTGGTCGCTTCCTTTTACGACTACTGAGGCTGCATATTTATAGCATGTATGAAAATAAGTTGACTTTCAAATACAATTCAGAATATACTTATCATTTAGGAATACTTAGTAAACACAACAGTTTCCTACTTCTGTCAGATGTTAATAAAGTTGATCCCAAATTCTCCACAACTGAGCACAGAGAAAATCAAGTTTCTGATGCAGCCTGTTACAGGGTTTTTATAGTCTGAACCTGTCTAAGGATCTTATGAAAATAAAATCCCCATCTGACCTTCATGTAGAACCTCAAGTAAGTTTGCTCTGATTCCAGTTGATTCTCAGGGCTTCAGGGATTCGTCTGATTAGAACAGATGCGCATTGGCTCCTTCAGTCAACAGAATACTTACTGGTCACACTTGGTGTGCTGCACAGTAACAAGAGCAAGTGAGCAGAGACCCAAGAACATGGGTCAGGTAAAGCCTCATCCCTGAGGTTCGGGAGCAACGATGCTTCCCAAACTGCATCTCTCTGCTCTTCAGAACTGTTCACTGTGTTCCTGAATGATTTCCCAGCACGTGAGCTGAGAGCTGGGGTCTGAAAATACCAACAAATAAAACCCCCAACAGGACACTTTGTCATTTTATGTGTGTAACTGCAGAGATCAGCTGCTAAAGCTGGGGGCAGCCAACTAGGCTAAGTAAAGCCCAGGGGTAGCCTTGGCCAGAGCAGCGGGCAGGAAAATGGAGAAAAACAGAGAGTACATGAAGAGTTAAACATGGCGGTGAGAGGGGGACTTGTAGTGGAAAGAAAGAAACCCTTAGTGGATTGTGATAGGACCATTCACACAGGCGTGTGTGTGTGTGTGTGTGTGTGTGTGTGTGTGTGCATGCGCGCGCGCGCGGACATGCATATGTGCTCATGAGGTTGCTGGGACTGAACTCGCCCACACCCACCCTAGGCAGACCCTCTACAACTGAGCTGTATAACTTATTCTCCACTGATAACTATTCTAAGGAACAGGTTTAACATTAGTAAATTCTGATACAGAAGCATTCACAGAACAAAGTCCTTCCTGGCAATTCTACTTAGCACACTCTCACTTAGATCTTTCAGAACCAGTTTTCCATTTGATGGAGCCTATCAATCTGCTGTCAATCCTCTTCTCTGCACAGCAGCCTTATGTGGTGCGTCCGAAGCCAGTGCTCACTGTTCTCTGCTGCCAACAACTCTGCTAGCAGAGTTAACCGTTTCCTGGTGTAAATCCCCTGTGCTGGATAGCGTTTCTTGTCAATTTGACACACCTGGGTAGGGGGAGCCTCACTTGGGGAACTGCCTCCATTGAACTGGACTGTGGCCATGTATGTGGGGTACTTTCTTGATTTTTGAGTGATGTGGGAGGGCCTAGCCCACTGTGGGCGATGCCACCCCTGGACAGGTGGATCTGTGTTGCATAAGCAGGCTGAGCAGGGGCCAGGGTAACAGGCAAGTAAGCAGCATTCCTCCATGGCCTGTGCTCCAGCTCCTGGCTCCAGGTTCCTTCCCTGAGTTCCTACCTTGGGCTCCCAGATGAACTGTGACCTGGGAGATGTAAGTGAAATAAACCCTTTCCTCCCCAACTCGGTATTGGTCAGAGTGTTTTGTCACAGCAATGGAAAAACAAACGAGTACATCACCATTTGCTCACAGCCTCTGGGCTATATACTTCCTCCAAAGATGTATCTGGTCCCATGACTTTAACTATCATGTACATGTCAGCAACTTCCAGATCATTATTTTTAGCCCTGGCCTCTCCTTTGAGCTCCACACTCCCTCCCTCTTCTGTCCGTCTGACATTGGCACATTGAACAAACAAAACAGGACACCAACTGGTCCTCACCTCATTAGCAGCCCCTTGCTTCTCTACCCTATTGCTCAAGGCAGAAATCTGGGATTTACTGTTTTTTGAGACAGGGTCTCCCTGTAGCCCCAGCTGGCCTTGAACTTGCTACACAGACCAGATTGGCTTTAATCTCAGAGATCCACCTGCCTCTGCTTCCTGAGTGCTGGGATTAAAGATGTGTGTGGGTTTTTTTTCTTCCTTTGCAAAAGGACCCATCAGTGAGTCCTTTTGACTATCTGTAAAACAGATCCTGCTTACTCTGTTATCGCCACGTCCAACCCAGGTGGTGCCAACCCAGGCAGAGCCACTGCCATCTTCCCAAAAACTCTTTTAAAAAATTAACTTGTAAAGCTAGTATACAGAATAGGATTAGTTATGACATGTTCATGCATCTGTATCATGTCCCTTCTTCATGCTAGCCCTCTCTGGTTCCCTCCCACCATCTCACTAGTCCCTTTCTCTCCCCAAGTGGTTCCCCTTCTGCACTGATGTCTTATATATGTATTGTACATGTAGAGTTCAATCCAGATTCTGCAGAAAACAGGCAGAAGTTTGTCTTCCCTGATTACCCTCTCTTGGTTTCCTGTCTCCTCTCCCTTCAGACCTCTCCCTCCTTGCCACAGCCTCCCTTCGACTTTTAAGCATGTATATGTATGTATGTATACATGTATATTTCTTTTTGAGTCTAGCTCTGCATGTGAAGAAAACAATGCTTATCTGAGTCTAGCTTATTTCACTTATCATGTTTATCTTCAGTTCCATCCATCTCCTACAAATGACATTTGTTCTTCTTTATAGCCGAATAAAACTCCATCGTGCACCAGTAGCTCATGTTCTCTATACCCTGCGGTGGTAGACTAGGCTGGTTCCATCTGCCGGCTGCCATGAGCAGCGCAGCAATGAGCATGAACGTGCGAGCACCTGCCCTGTTCACGGGTCCTTTGGTACAAAGAACAGCAGTGTACGTGGCAGTTCTGTTGTTAGTTTCTTGACAAATTTCCATACATTTTCTTAGTGACTGTGCCAATTTACACTCCCTCACTATCCACCAACACTAACACTAAACTCCATACAGCAGG